TACAACTTTAATACGGATTATCATTTGTTATATATATGGAGAGAGAGAGAGAGAGAGAGAGAGTTGGCGGAGTTATTTCATATGTATATGTTCACAACTTACGAATTAGCATTCATTATAATTTTATTTGGAGAAAAGGAGTTATTTTATATGTATACAACTTACGAGTTAGCATTCTATATAGAGAGAAGGGGTTATTTTATATGTATATGTATACAACTTACGGGTTAGCATTCATCATATATAGAAAGAAGGAAATATTTCATATGTATATGTTTACAACTTACGGGTTAGCATTCATCATATATAGAAAGAAGGAGTTATTTTACATGTATATGTTTACAACTTACGGGTTAGCATTCATCATATATAGAGAGAAGGAGTTATTTCATATGTATATGTTAACTTACGGGTTAGCATTCATTATATTTGGAGAGAGAGAGAGAGAGAGAGAGCGAAACATTTGTATATAGCATGACGTATAATTTACAGATAAAATAAATCTATTCTTACTATCAGTTTAGTTTTGCAACATTTCAGTACTACAAACATACATAGGAATTATCTTAAAAAATGGGCTTGTGATTTTTCAACAATAAAAAATTAAATAAAACTAGAAATAAATCCTTTGTAGAAATTGAGAAAAGTGAAGTGAAAGGGCAGAATTCATTATGTCATTGATAAACTCTCATTGATGTGCATTGGTATTATGGATTCTGTTGAAAATTACGCCAGACGATGGGCTAGATATGAAAAAGAAGACATTGACACCTTGTCAGAATGGATTAAATGTATCAGATCCATGTTAAAGTCACGTATTAAAAGATTGAGGGGCAAAGTGAAAACCATCTATCCTTCTGTGTTCAATAAACCAGAAGTGAAAAAAGAATTAGATAGAATACACGATCAGTACGTACTGGTTCCTGCCGACAAAGCAGGTAACAACATTGTCTTCGTTTGTAAGGCTCATTATATAAATTGCATTCTAGAAGAACTTGGATTTAATTCTACAAGTGGTTATCCTACGTATACATATACTTCTCTTTCTAAGGAATAAATTCTTCAGAATCACCTGTCAGTTTTGAATACTTTGAATATTCCACAGAGCCAAAATGAATTTGAACTACCTTATATATATTGGATTCCGAAATTTCATAAGAATCCTTACAAACAAAGATACATTGCAGGTTCCAGTAAATGTTCAACCAAGCCTCTTTCGTTACTTCTCACTAAAATATTGACAGTAGTGAAGGAAAAACTCCAAGAGTACTGTACAACTATATATTCAAGAAGTGGTGTAAATCAGATGTGGATACTTAAAAATTCTAAAGAACTTTTGGACAATTTGAAGTCACAAGACTTTACAAAAATCAACAGCATAAAAACTTACGACTTTTCAACTTTATACACAACAATTCCCCACGACAAATTAAAATCCAGGCTTTTTGATATCATTGATAGCTGCTTCTTCAACAAAAATGGAACTCGTAAGTTTACTTACCTCGTCATTGGTCATTTGAAAAATTATTTTGTTAAAAAAGATTCTGATTGCACACATAAGTACTCTGAAGTTGACATCAAGAAGATGCTTGAGTTTCTGATTGAGAATATCTATGTGGTTTTTGGAGACCATGTATTCCAACAATCTATTGGAATTCCCATGGGTACAAATTGCGCTCCGTTATTAGCAGACTTATTTTTATATTCATATGAAGCAGAATTTATGCAAAATCTTTTACGTGAAAAGAAGAAAACACTTGCTGTGGCCTTCAACTCGACGTTTAGATATATCGACGACGTATTGTCAATTAATAATGATAATTTCCATTCCTACGAGTATATACCTCTAAAAATTCAACAGCCAAAATTCAACATATAGAAGTGTAACATCATATTTTATTCAGCTATGTACCAAATCACATACAATTATTGTTAAAACTTAGGAAAATCATAAACATTCATTTGTCAAGAAAATATTTGAAACTTCTATTTGAAAACACTTAAAGATTGATGTTGATTGTGTCAAAATCTTTCAGAGAAAAAGTTCAAAATATCTTTATTTTAAATATTTTTTAAAATCTTTTATGTCTATATGCTATTTTTTTCTTCACAATTATTTAGAATTATATCTTAGGTTAGCAGAAAAACATACTTCATAATGGTTGACCAGAAAATTATTACAAAACAGCCTTTTGAACACCTATACCCCCATTTTTGAATATCTATTTTTTTCAATCGTTCTTAAGTTGTAAGATACTCATCAGAGCAATAGAAAAAGAACACATTTTATATAAACCATATATATTGTTTGTATGTCAAATTAAAAATGAAACCATGATCATGTCCCGCTGTAGATTGGAACCCTTGATGTAAAGATGAACACATTCGTCCGCAAGTCTAAAATGGTTTTAGAGGATGACGTAAATAAGGAAAAACATTTGATTAATGCTTGAAAAAAAAAGAATAATAAGAATAATCTTAATCTTCAGAATCAGTAGAAGGTCTGGAAATGAAACCTGCACCAAAAACATTAACATGTACACTCAACCAGAAAATATAGGTCAGATTCAGCATCCGAAGCAAGTCTGGTAATGTGCATCCTTAGATGTATCATCTATGCAACTTTGGACAACATAGGGCTTATAGTTACTTTGAATGAAACTTACTACACAAAACTGCACCAAAAATGTTAACCTGTTCCAAAAACCTTGGTCGCCGACACCGAGGGTACATGTGTAACATAAGCTCCCTTAACTTCGTTAAGGTGAGCTAAAAACGTAAAAATCCTCTTAAGGGGGGGGGGGGGTTAGCCGTTGACTTCCAAATCTTCTTCATACCTGTGACTTTTCGTACCAGCGTAACCATATTCATTTTTAATTTGAGGGTGTGTACATTTTCTAGGGGGATCCAAGGTCACGTTTTACTTGGTTTTCCAACGCCTTGTAACAAGCTATCATTTTGAAAAACTTTTCTAGAAGCTTGTAACCAGTTATCTGGATTGATTTATATTAAATGTTGTGATGTACATCATTAAGCCAAAGAAAAAAAAACATCAACGAAAAAACAAAAAACAAAAAAAAAACAAACAAAAAAAAAACGTATATACCATTACGAGTACATAGTTTGAAGTATAATAAATGTATAAATAAAAAAAATATTTCATTAAATTAAGAAATGGCAACTAGTATCCATGTTTTGCTCTGGAAAATCAAAGATATATGTCAGATCAAAAAGTAAAAAGGAGATGTACAGGTGCAACTGCAAATATGTAATAAATATTCTGTGGAAGTTTCATAAAATTTCCTTCAGTTGTATGAGAGGAGTTGCGGGTAAGAGATTGGTTCCCCAAAGCCTAACAGACGGGCGGACAGCTTGACAGACGGATGGACATACCGATTACTGTACAGTGGCGTAGCATCGTTTTTAGGGGAGCCAGCCAGAGAAAATTTTTGTTCACTTACCTGAAAAAGTTGACAAGCAAAAATAAAAATAAAAAAGGGAAAATGGTTGTCCAAAGTCGAAAATCCTATTTCGTAGGGGAGGGGGGGGGGGGGGGTAAAGGTAAATTTGTTCTGAGCAGTGTCAACTTTTACTACCAATTCTAATACTAATCTGGTACATCACTAACAGTGGGGGGGAGGGGCAGGCTTTCAATTAACATTTCCTTTAGTATGAATAAAGTTGGGAATAAAAACGGGGGGACGTAGCCCCCCCCCCCCCCGTTGCTACGCCCCTGCTATATACCCTCCCAGTGTATTTTAGACAACAGAAGATTGATCTCAATAGCCCTCGTCTTATACCATTTTAGGTATTAAATCACATTTCTTAGTTGCCTTTCTACAGTTTGAGAATCTGGGACGTTTTTTCAGGATATGCTTTGTATATCGTCTCGTTATGTAGCCTAGCTGTGGTCATTATCCTTAGTTGCAAATCGCACAAGTGCTCGTCACGTGGACAGGATTAACTTAATCTATATGTTTCTATTTGAAAATCACATAATATATAGATTGTATATATAATATTTACCTGAAACCGCTGTGTATAGAAATTGCAAATGACGATATACTTATGTCATTTTCAAATATGTCATTAAAATTAAACAAAAAATTCACCGAAATTAGCACGTTTTAAAAAAATGTCATATTTACTGTAATGACATTTTTTTAAACTTGCTAATTTCAGCGAATTTTTAGTTTTATTTTAATGAGAGTATTCAGGCACACATAGAAAAACACATGATTCACAAAATACACTATCCTTTAAAGAAGCGCCTATGTACGAGCACCTGTGGCAAATCGCAGCCAAATTTTGCGAGATGACGTCAAGTCACTCGTGACACAGCGTCGTGGGAAACATTAGGAGGCACAAGGCACACGCCACAGCAGAGAATGAGTTAGCAGCAGGGAAGCAATGATATTCAAACCTTCAAGATATAGGAGCCAGTGTTTAGAATGATACTGTATACCACTTCTTGCCATGATTGTAGACTTTGGAGAAGTTGTGAGTATATTTTTGCACAAATACATATGACAAGAATTCTGACTTCTAGGGATTTTTCGTTGAGAATGAATAATTGAAATCTTTCTTTGAAAACTTATGATCTTGAATTAAACTTTTATCTCTCTCTCTCTCTCTCTCTCTCTCTCTCATTTTTTTATGACTACATGTATCAAAATATATTTACATTTCCAATGTCTTTGTCTGAGATAAAATTACCAAATGTAAATGTAATTGATTTCCTCATGAATGTCCTTTGGCGCGGTTCCAAAAAAACCACGTGCAGGGCGGGACAGCACCTAGAGAGAAGCAGGCTTGGAGCCCGTGGCAGAATCAAAGCATGTAAATATAAGGAATAACTGTCAGATTTTTCAAATTCATGAAGATGATCAATGGATTGGCTTGTGTGATAATTTTATGCATAAACGCCTTCACGAAAAATAAGACAGTTATTCCTTAAGTGAATAGTAAATATGGGATTAATTACTAAACACGAATCAAGTAAACCAAATGAAAGGGCAAGCAACTCTATAGGTATGTATATTAAGAATGATGAGGCTCGAATAATAGAAGACAAATATAAAAGTAAAATTAAGACATTTTATTGAAATCATTCAAACAATAATATTTATTTTCAATTTGTTAATGAACAACAATTAGGTCATGTATGTTTTAGAAAGAGGAAATTCAAGTTTGTTTCTTTCGTATGAAAGCATCACCCAAAAAAGCATACAAAAGACAAATTTAAAAGTATACTAGTACACAATAAATAGGCAAAAGTTTTCCTAAAATTTAAATTTTAACTCAAGTTGAAACTGATTTTTTGTTTTAAAAAACACACGTCAGGTATTACATGCTACACTTTAAGTTATATTTATAGAAAAAGTATGATTTAATTTTAACAAAAAAATCAACAGAAAATCAACAGAATGATTGAAATGGATCTCAGAATTATATGTGTCAAAAAAGAAAATCGAACAGATGGTTTCAGATTTTTTGGGGGACACGGACTAACAAAATTTCATTGGCAAAAAAACTACAAGATTCAGTAGATGTCACCATATTTGACATTTAATATGACCTTGACATTCATTGTATACAAAAAAGCAGTCTTCTTATATATATGTGCAATAATATCAGCCCTTTACTATTTATGGATCAAATGTTAAGACTGCATGGATTTATTTTCACTTTTCAGCATAAAGACAGTTTTAAAGGTAGGCTCCAAAGTGACCAATACATAGGATGTCTCTGATTTTTTAAACATGCAAATATGATATGAAAACATTTCACTTATTGTTATTTTTCTTACAAAAATCATTGACAAGATCGGGATAAATTGTTATTTTTCTTACAAAGTTAATTTAAAGTATGTGTTATGTTCTACCATAATACTACATAATACAGCATTTCTAAATTAGCTTAACTGCCACTAAACAACTGTTAATGTTAATCTCACAAAGAAAGAAAAAAAATCAGTCATGTGCATAAAGCATGATTATATATACAGAAGTCTAGGACCATATGGAAATCTGTAACAATGCAATGAATTTCTTAAAAAAGCTTTTAATCATATGTTCCACCTCGTACCTTTAAGTTAAATTAGATCTATGGTTCAAATTATGATGATCGATATATAGCACAGTAAATACTAAATAAGACATTGAAAAAAGAGGTTTATCATGTATATATGCACATATTGCCTACAACAAATTTATTTGATACATTACATATTCTGAAATGTACAAACTTTTAATTCTTATAAAATTATATGCATAATTGCTACAGGAAATAAAAGTGACATAAATGTTTTTATGTATAAACCTGTAAACTAAATTTCATCAAGCTTAATTATTTTTTTGTCGCAGTTTCCTCAGCAACTACTCATTGCAGATTATGAAATTTTAGCAGACGCTTTGTTAAGGCATGCTGTATAGTGCAATTCATTTTTGTAAGATTCCAATGTCAACTTCCTGTTTAACCATTGGTCAAATTTTTGTTACAGTTTTTTCAGCAAGTACTCATCGCAGATGTCTCAAATTTTAGCACACTCTTTCTTTCAGCAAGTCATATGGTGGGATTCTTGCCTTACATTTGACATGGTGGGATTAATTTTGTATGAATTCATTGTCAACATGAGAAGGTATATTCACATCAGAGTTGGGGTGTTACAAGTAAGAAATCGCTGAAAGATTTTTTGTTGATTTAGATGAATGGTGTAGCCATTGTTTCTAAAAATAAAGATTTCCTTTAAAATCCTTTAAAATGCTTCTCCTCCTACAGTTTTTGTTTGATTTCAATATAATTTGAGACACAAGTAGACTATACACAGTGATATACAATTTAGTATATTGGTTTTTGATTTTGATGGACTCAATTTAATCATCATCATCATCAAAATCACTGTCAGACAAACTATTCAGTTCAAAATTTTCATTTTGCAGGAATAGCTGCAGTATTTCCTGGATATCCTGATCTTCATTGAGAACTGCATTTGTAAACTCTCGTTCAAATTCTTTGACGTGGGGAAGATAAGGTGTAAAAATTTGCTGCAGTCTCACAATTTGTTGTTCAACAAATATAGCCTCCTTTAAAAGCATAGACTGTTCTCCAGGTGTTGGCAACCGTTTTAAGTGATCTTTGATGATTTGATGCATGTTCAGAAAATAAGTTATCATTGATGACATTTCTGCCTGCAACATAACTTTTTCTTCTTCACACCTTTGTACAAATGTGTAGGAATGGATAATATCCTGTTTTTGCTGTTGTGGCATGGAAGGGTCAAAGTCATCCTCTGAAGCGAATACGGCATTAGATGGCAGATTTACCATGTCAAAGGAAAGGTGAGACGAACTGTTGACAGTGTTATATGCTAAGATTTCTTTATGAATCTTCTTGTTTAATGTTTTCAGTTGCCTCTCTATTTTGCTCGCAATGGACTGCCCTCCTATCAAACAAGAAGTAATAATAATGTGTAAATTAATTAAAGCAACTAAAAGACAATTTGAAAGTTTTGGTGTATAATCATTGTAAATGATTTAAAGGGAGCTTAGGACAAAGGTATTAAATCATGAATAAATATATTTTTAGTTTATAGTTGCTTACTTGCATATTTCTTTATTAAATTAAGCAGATAAAGACGCTCTTTTGCCATCTGGTGCAAAGAATTGAGATGGATTGATGCTTGTTTTTTCTTCCCACTTTTCAAGAGGTCTTGGAACAAAGCATTGGCAGTATTCCACCTGCAAGATATGCCAATCTTCTTCTCCATGTGAGCAAGTTCTTTATCAATCCTTGAAAATTATAAATAAGGATATAAGTAAGCCACCCTATTTGACATGAAAGGCATAAGATCAAAAGAAAATATATCCTTGTTTCCTGTCCTCTGACCAAAAATAGGGTAGGTAGGTAGGTAGGGAACATTTATTTTGAATAAAAAAATATTTAAACTCTGTCTCAATGAATGCAGTTCACACTACATGTAATAACATGAAAACAGTTTGTTATACGTTTAAACTAGAGGTACTGTTAGCGATGAGCTCACTAAATGATACGCCCCACCTCCATATAGTTATAATGGCGAAGTCCATGTTTTGCTGTGGCCGGGAAACCCAAAATATGTGTCTGATCAAAAAGTAAAATAGGAGACTCACAATGGCAATATGTTATTAAGATTCTGTGAAAGTTTCATCAAATTTCATTTAGTGGTAAGAGAGGAGTTGGGGATAAGAGATGGGTACCCTAAAGCGTAAAAGACGGACGGACAGACGAACGGAATTAACAATCACTATATACCCTCCTGCTTTTCTAGCGGGGGTGTAAAAAACATGAATAAAAGTATAGTAATTCAAATGTTTTGCTAAATGGGCATAAAAAATTCAATGTTTGGCTGCTAAGTGAGATGTTGGAGCGGTTGATGAGATATTTGACCACTTACATCACAGAATGGGTGGAGCTTATTCTCATTCTCATTTGTTGGTGTTCAGCAGTGACATACCTGATGTGTTACATCAGGGAAGACGGTACAAAATTAAAAAGAAATGGTATAACAGAACATTTTTTGAATATGTTCTCAGGCAAAAATGGTTTATCAATTTTCGAACCAAACAGTCTGCCTTGGGCCTAACAGCCTCGGGCAAACAGTTCAGTTCTTTGGTCCGACAAAAAGATGTTGCCCTAAAAGTAGGTCAATAAATGTATATTATTAACATTTTAGAAAGCAAGTTAATTTGTTATTACAGATTTATAAAGTAAAGGTATCCTGTACACTTGTGGATGTATTTTCTAGATTCTTTAAAATGATAACATTGATCATATACTTTTTTGAAGGGTATGACCAAGTTTTGTATTCAAACTCTTTTCAGATTCATCTGCAATAACTAAAATTATCGTTGGTTGACTTTAATATTTTAGGCAAATGAGCCCAGAAAAAACTAAAACATTGTAGGGTAAAATGTAGGGTGGTTTGGATGGATGACGGGAAACAAGTATATATTTTTTTGGTCTTAAATAGCTTATGCACTTCATATAATGTGCTGGAAATCATTGTAGATATTTCCTCATTGATCTTCAAAAAATTAAGTTTATTTCTTAAATGTTTTACCTGATTGTTTCTTCTGATTGTTCGGGTCTGAAAGATAAGTGATACAACAAATTAACAAAATTGTTCAAATCATGCCCCAATTTGATAGGCACTTGGAGTGGGCCAACAATATGGGATCTAAATTTTGCAGGATTTATTTAGAGACAGAGAGAAAGAGAAAATATTCCTCTAAAGAATAGCAAAGGCATGAATAATCATATTTTTATAGAAGTATCCTCAGGCAGTGGACATTCAACTTTTGTTCAAATCATGACCCCAAGGGGTAGGGCAGGGCCACAATTTGGAATCCAAGTTTTACATAGAAACATGTAGAAAAAATCTTCAAATTCTTTTCAAGAATAGCAAAGCTATGATTAGTCCTGTTCATATGGAAGCATTCTTGGGTAGTGTAGATTCAATTTTGTTCAAGTCATGACCCCTTTGGGTATAGGGCGGGACCACAATGTAAGTTAAAATGTGAAGGGCAATTAAGCCACAGGTAATCAAAGAAATATGCATGCATCCTTAGTGAAGATTCAAGTTTGTTCAATATTTTTAAATCATACCATCTCCCTTTTAAGGATTGGTTTAGACCACTACTGGGTTTAAACTTTTCAACCATAAACTGATT